GTACTGTTAGGAAGTACGTGGCGGGCTGCAAATACATTGGAATACTTGCCTCCAGCGATCGGGAGAGTATCTAGAGCTGGTTGCATTATGCGATACTTGGGGATCTCGGCGAGGCCAAACATCATTTCCCCTCCAAGAGGATGCAGTTATTTTAGTCATCTTTGAAACTCATCTGTCTTTCAGATCGTCCTTGCTTTTGCATCCATGAGCCAATAGAAGATCTACACGAACCCCACGAGAATATGTCGCTTGTGCAGTGGCCGACCCCTCTAATAAGATTCCGTACCAATGTCTGTGCAAAGAATGGACGCAATACAGCTAGCTGTATATGCCGCCCACCAAGACAAGGACAGAAAGCGAAGGAACATTGCTACTAGTATTCTTCGTACTCATGCTGTCTATGAAACACGTCTGAGTCTTTGCTCGGTTGTCAGCGCACCCCAGAGGTTCTGAGAAGCAATGAGTAAAGAGTACTCATACTCAGTACGGCTAGAAGCTTTGCTCTCTGCACCGAGTGGAAGGTTTCCTGATTCTGTCCCCCAAGGTTAATCGACGTTGTCCATAGGCGACGCCGTCATCGGCTGCAGTTCTGAGATTCTCGACGTTTGATTTAGAACCCGCCGTCTTGGTTGAGTCAGGTAAACCATGCAGCGCAAGAGGGTAGATCCTTTTACACCCACCGTTGTCACCGTAATCTACACCTGGGACTGGGTCCAATGTACTTAGATGTAGTACGTAGATACATTAGTTGAGCCACACCAAAACACTAACTGGCCAACAAAAACATGGGGACGGTAGATGTGCCGAGGATGAAATCTTCTTGTTTTCTTGCGGAGCGTGGTTCGTTCAGGCTCACTGCAACCTGACGTGTGGTTTTTGATTTGAAGAGATGGTGCACACGTACGATGCCGCCGATCACTATTGGCACCTGCTGTTTTGCGATCAGTTTAAACCAGTTTGCTCTGACCAAAGAAAATGATGCTGGCACCCTTCTTTGTCTCCTCTTCTGTAGCAGTGCAGGCTCCCTTCTGGGTGGCTTCATCCATCCAATGTGTGTGTGGCAGAAGTATGACCAGACAGGCCCTGTTGTTTTTCACGCTTAAGTGACCAGACCAGTTGACCTTATTCGACTCGCGATGCAGCGGGTTGCAGAACCGACCAGCCCTAGACCGGGGAGGTAGCTAGTCGACAAGGTCTAGGGTCCGCAGCACATGCAGCGACTGGAGAACGGCTGGGACGACCACATGTTGCCGAACCAGTGGGCACTTCTCCGTTTCCCGTGCGTACCAATGGCTCCTGACCACTACCTAGGTAGTTTAGTGGCTTGGATGAAGGCTCCAGATGTCCTCTTGCTACCGCCTCGAAACAGGCCGTTTCCTGGGCACTGGCCTTCAAGACATGGCCTGAGCAAACACATTCTTAGTGCCAAAGCAACTTTGGCCCGCAGTGGCTGCGTTGCTTATTACCCGCCCCTCTTGGGTTTATTTGTCGAGGACGTCTTGGTGGAGAGAGGAAGAGTGCGAAGGGAGGCAAGGGTTAAGAAGTAGCCAAACGACGTCCCGCCCGACGTTACGCCCTGCATACAGGATTGGCATGGTCGCCTGATCGCGTGCCATCAGTCCACGCCCACCTGGAACATGGAGTAACAGACCATTCGCAATGGCCATCTCTGGTTCGGGGTAGACCTCATGCCTGAGACCATGCCATTCTTGGCAGCCATCGGCCCCAGTCTGTGTTTTCAGTCGACTCAACTGGATCGTGTCGGCCCTGGAGGCGTCCTTGGTGTCTTTCGGCCGCGAGTGGTGCTAATAAGGGCCATGGATTTTACATTGCAACCTTGGGCCTTTAATACCTTGTACCTCCCGGCTCGGCAGAAAGGATGCACAGTTCTCAGATGGAACATGTCGACAGCGGTCTGGAACTGAACTTTACGACCTGTTTGTTTTCCTGCAGTCCTGCGTTATTTGTACCAGCCTTGAGTCTATAGCAATATCACCAAGACAGTGCGTAGCTCGAGGTGGCATTTAACTTCAGGTAAACCGTAAACTGCAGGGCGGCGACCCCAAGGATCCGGCATCGCAGTATCGCTCAAAAGGGAAAGACTGAGAGAGTAGTGTTCCTTTCTCGCGTCGATATATATCGCTTTAGGAAGAGAAGCCTCTAATACTTGACAATATTCGCAGTGTACGCGACTGATTTGCAAACACGGATTTCGAAGTTTTGACATTTATCTTCTATATTGAACTCTGGTTGTTTTCGTCTTCGGTTATGTTCGACCTTCATCCAGGCGTCCAACCCCGGCAACTGCACGGGCTAAACACCAATATGCTGGTCACTATGGTTTACCCAACCGATCACAGGATAGCTGCGAGGTCGAAATATAATGGAATTAAAAGATATTCGAAAACAAGGCCAAGGCTAATTCAGTCTCAACCTGTCGACGCCGAAGAGTTGACGAGAAGACTATTTGTTGTGCTTGCAGAGCAAAAGGCACACTCGGAAAGAAAGCGGCGAACCCGGACTGAGGCTGAACAACTGGCTGCATCTTCGCCTTCTTCCAAGCAGCATAAGAGCAAGGACATTACACCACCAGCAGGTAAACATGGCGACAAATTGGACTCCTCAGCAAGATCAAAGCCTGAGACAAAGTCAGCACAACAAGTTGAATGGCCCCCGAACGACAAGTTATACCGGCCAAGTTCAAAAAAGTCGGACAGCTCAAGCAAAAAGAGTGGTGAAGAGGAACAAAAGCATTCGTCTAGTTACCATCATGTCCCTCAGGTTGCAGCCTCTCAATTTACCTTGACCACTACGGTTGAACCACGCGCCGAGAAGGGTCCGGTACATACGTTATCCAAAGTCGCCATGAAATTCCATCTCGATGGTCCGAATGGTAGTCGAGAAATAAGAACAAAAAACTCTACAGCCCCGCCCTGCGAACATGCTAAGGCGCTGATGAGAGCACAGAGCATGCGGGAGCGACAGTATGAGCGAAATCAAGTCTTTCAACCCTTGCCGCCGACTTTCGAAATCGAAGCGGTTTCCCATAATTTATTCAATCGCAACTCATTTCATACTGATTCGAGATCAAGAGAACACCAAGATCAAGTGAAGAATTCCAGAAGAAGGAGCACCGGCAGCATCTTAGGGCGGAATGACGCTCCCCCCATAGATATTTTCGAGTTGGCTGGTGCAGTGTTCTCACCCACTAAGCCTGTCGCTACTCAGGCTCCAAGTGAACACAGAGTCGATTGGACCCAAAGCGACGAGGTGAAGGCTATGAAGGCCATTAACATTCCGCAACAGTCACAACCCAAGTTGCGAAAACTAGAATCCAGGTGGATTCTACGGTGTCGTTTGGGAGGCTTCGGACGACAGTCCAAAGATAATAAACTGGTATCCCCTACAGATGAAAAGTCGCCTCAAAATCTGTCATCGAAGTCTCCTATTAGCGTTTTCTTTTCTCGATTTAAACGCTAGTCCTGCTGTTGATATGAAATACTGGGGAGGAGAGAAGCCACGTACCCTTTTGTACGATGGTGATGTGATATGATATGATATGATATCAACCAGCGCTTCCAAGTCCGGAATAGCACTGGCTTGGGACGAGACCACGACAAATATAATGCATACTCAAATTTTCATCATTTTCTTTTGGGTCGTGTAGTTGTCATGCATGACAACTAACGTCTCACCGTCTTTCTTGTGCCATCAATTGTTCAATCAGCTTAGTGTCTTCCTGGGACGCCTGCTGCTGTAGCATTGCCGTAACCTCGTCTTTGTCATCTCGTGTATTGATAAGATGCAAAATCAACTCGGTGTACTCTCGAATACCTTCGCCTGCTTCGCCATCCGCCATCCGAGCTCTTCGCAGGGCTTCCTTCCCATTCTTGATGCCAACGTCATGGTTCCAATTACTTTTCTTTGGCACACCTTGCATAAGTGAGGCTGGTATTCTTTTATCGGGAGCTTCTTGCGGAGGTTGTGTGGCGGCATGGATGTCGAGTAATTGCTGTGTGAGGCCTGGGTACTTGCGAAATAACCGTTGCAGATGCTCTGATGTATCAAGTGCGCGAAAGGGATTGGCGGGGTCCGATAGAGTGACAGGAGAACTACTGATCAGCGGTTCTGGATTTTCAGGTTTTGCAATTAGCTGTGGCTCGGGATCTGGAGGATGATTCTCTTTGTGGATTTTGTTGCAGGCAACAGAGCAGCTGAGATGAGATTAGAAGTGTATTCCGTGACAAGTATTCAGCTGGAGAAGTGAAGGCTCTTACTACGGCAAGTAGCATCGAGGGCATTTATATTTTGATGCCGCCTTTTCACAAACTCCGCAGATAGTGACGCCTTTTGCGGCTTGTTGAGCAGTTGGCTGCGCATGCAGCTGGGAGCTCTCGTTGGTGCTAGCTTCGGAAGCTGCGTGCGGGTCCTGCGTTCTGTCCTCTGTCGGTTCGGTACGTGCCTCAGTGGCCACAGATTGCACTTGCTCCATCTTAGGCTGTGAATGACCCGGATCTGTGAGGTCAAAGGGTTTATGCAGCTTGAATCTGACGACGGATCCTTGAAGCAATTATGGCGGCATTTCAAAAACGGGGCGGTTATCGGCCAAACGAATTGCCTTATCGGTTTGCGAGAAGGAAAAAATCAAGAGGAGGTGGGACCAATGACTGCCCAGTGCATGAAGCTGGTCGTCCTTTTGGGGCGGACCGGAAGAAAAAACTGGCAGGACCCACAGGCAGGTCTGTTCGATGCGTCACGAAGCTCCAATTACTAATGCCTGCAAGAGTCGCGAGTAGCCGGAATCGGCCATTAGGTCATTAGTTTCCTCACCAAACGGACGGCGACCGGCTTTCGACGATCCCCGATGGTTAATTCTTCCTTCCGCCATATGTGCATTGCTTGAATACGACGACATTACCTTTCTCCCTAATTTATACTAGGTTACACATACTGTCTCTTTGCTCCGACCCAGGAACCAACCATCTCAACCCGGGCGCAAAATGCCTGCGCTGCCATCCTCTGCCGCGCCGAGGATCATATCCCGCGCCCTACGCTCATCACGACACTCGCCGCGCTGGACACGCCAGCTCAGCACACACACCGCAGGAAGATCACCGTCTCTACTAAGACCAGGTTTTCACATCAATGTGCCCTCGCGACCGGTGGTCCCCCGGCGCAGCGCTCTACCAAGCCTTGGCATCGGCGGCACCCGGAGCATCTTCATCCAGACTGAAAACACGCCGAACCCAGACGCTCTCAAGTTCCTGCCCAACCACCGCGTTGTTCCCGAAGAGATCAACACCCCGTTCATCGAATACCTGAACCCCCGATCGACCATCTCACCACCGTATCCGTCCCCCCTCGCCGCCAAGCTCATGAACATCGATGGCATCACATCCGTCTTCTATGGCGCAGACTTCATTACCGTCACCAAGGCAGGAGATGCGAACTGGGCCCATGTCCGACCGGAGATCTTTGCCTTGATTACCGAGGCAATTACCTCAGGCGAGACCATTGTCAGTATCGCCGAGCGGAAGGAGGGTGACGAGGACATCGAAGAGGATAGCTTGGCATACAACGAAAATGACAGTGAGGTTGTGGGTATGATCAAGGAGTTATTGGAGACGAGGATTAGACCTGCTATCCAGGAGGACGGCGGAGACATCGAGTTCAGAGGATTTGATGACGGTTATGTCAAGTTAAAGCTGCGCGGGGCGTGTAGAACCTGTGATTCGAGTACGGTTACGCTCAAGAATGGCATCGAGGGCATGTTGATGCACTACGTGAGTTCTATTCCCTTGAATCCCCGCCTACCTAATGGGTGGTTTTACTGGTGAAATACGAGATGGCAAATAGCTAAAGCTTTTTTTTATCCCACAGATCGAGGAAGTAAAGGGCGTTCATCAAATTCTGGACCAAGAGGAAGAAATTGCCATGGAAGAGTTTGCCAAGTTTGAAGAGAAGCTAAAGCACCAAAAGGCTGCGCAATGAGAAGGGAGGAGGAGAGATTGTGGACAGGGTTTCTCATGTATATTAGAGCATACTAGCCTCGAGTGGCAAAAAAACGGAGACATATACGGCGATGGGATGTATAATGACACGAGGTTTGAAGTAGTTGTAATCATATTCTCCATACGCTAGTATGTCTACGGTGTAGTGGTGCGTCGCTGACGACAACTTGACGCGTGACGTGACACGACCATGTTTTGCACATGATAACCAGGCTTCACGTCCATGCAACTCCCTGATATCAAATGTGAATTGCGATAACATGGCGCGCCCATGCACGGGTACATGATGCAAATACACGTAGTCATGCGGCAGTTGTTCTCTGGGAGCGCGTAGTTGCAGACAACCCGAATAGGGGATGCAACCACCGAATGACTGCATGAAGACTCAGAACCTGCGGCTAGCTTTTTCTGGATCCCTTTTTGCGCGAAAGTACCGTTCCGCACGTGCCAGGCGTACGAAGGAGTGGCTCTGGAAAATCCGGGGTAATGCGACAGTCCCGTTCGTTGGTCCTTTAAAATTACCCGACCCTGAAGAAAGGTGGTTCAATGGCCTGGACAAGGGATGGCGCCAAGCGATGTTACACTCTGTGGCAAGATATCTGCCTCGAGGTACTCCGTACTCGGTAGTCCAATGTTCTTCCAAAGTACTTTACGGAGCACATACTAGCATATTGCGTTTGTAGTGGCAACATGGGTCAATCGCTGGTACCTGATTTAGCTGCTATTGTATCAGGACCCTTTTTTTTCCCTTGCCCCTGCCGGTTAAGCGTATCTACCGAAGTAATTAACTACCTAGGTACTTAAGTACTTAGTACCTACCTACCTACCTAGGTAGATAGTGTACCGAACAGGTGCTCAAAAAATAACAATGATCATTCTAACTTACTAGTCCTGGTACTAGGCACTTAGGCAAGAGGTAGTAGTAGTGGGCATGCTAGTATGCGGGCACAATTGTTTCGGAATTGGATTCCCCTCGGTGTTGGCGTTTGTTAAATGAGGCGGCTACAAAATGCCCCTCGTCACGGCAATCAAACTTGCCGCAGCTCAGAATGTCCAAGCTCAAAAAGTTGTTCCAAACCCATGTCAACAGAAACATGCCCTCCGTACCTACCAGGTATAGAAGACATATGGTGTATTGGACTTAAGTACTTAAGTAAAGAATATATTAAGTCTTGGCGGCACGGTCCTTGCGTCTCGAAACTGGCCTAATAGTCGACATAGGCATCTCCCTCTGCAGACTGGCAGAAAACGACAAGCCGTCGCGACCCCGGCGTCCAGACAGCGCCATGATTGACGGTTGGGGGACTCCTGAATTGATTTCATGAATGATCTGGCCGTAGGATTCAGTCGCGATAGTAGTTCACTTCTGACACGCGGATTCTTGCAATTAATTATACCGGAGCGGTTCGCGAATGGCAACGACCTTTTGATGACCAGCAATCGACGGCACCGAACCGGTCCTCTGGCCTCTCTTGGTAGTAGTACTACATGAAACAATATGACGCTAAGGCGGCCCATTGTCTCAGTCCGTCTTGGTGCTTAGCAAGACTCTCCATCCCCAATCATGAGTGGCACGAATCAAATGAGTTTGCTTCCAGAGTTCGCAGGACAATGCCCACCCACTTCCTCGAAGCCCCAGACACGGACACTAGTTGGCCTCAACGGGCGGTACAAAGTACACCAGGTGACTTCAAGCCACCAGACCGAGCGGGGTTGTGGAGTTGGTCAATTGCGGGGTGACGATCTCGACATGGAGTCGAGTCTGGTGTTGAAGCTCGGTGTTGAAGGTGCATCAGAGCAAATAACTACATAGTGTATATCGAGTACTCACTCACCCAAGAGATCAATGTGCTCACAGCTCTCTCTGTGGATGCGAAAAACTTCTGATAACAGCCACAATACGCGCAATTTCATTTTGCAATGCATTACTCGATAGATCACCCGCAGGTGTGGTACAGCAAGACGTCGTGTTGAGGAAGCAATATCGAGATGGAGGTTCAATGTTCAATGGAATACCAGTCAGGGGCCCGTGGAAGGTGTTGTGCAACGTCCCGAGTTCCCGTCAGCGTCTACATACAGACGAGCTCTTCAGCAATGCAGGACGATCGTCGATGGTTGTCAACTTGTGTGCACTCACCCAGCCGCACCCGGGCAACACATTCAACTGCATTTGACTAACCTTGGCTACGAAAGTGAATACCAAGACCAAGGGAAGGAGCTGTAAGGAGATGTGAAGCTGCTGTGGGTCATGATGCCCCGTCTGATTGCGACGTGGAAAAAAATTCTGCGTGATATCCGAGTTGTCCTCCTCATAACAAAGTTAAAGACGGACCCCGCACAATAACCAGCTGGAGCGTGGAACTAACGGCCATGTAAAATCTGCTGCGAATGAGACTGATTTCTCAGGGTTCCTGTCAAAATCGCATTCCGATGCCATCATGATGCGCCCATCTGCACACCACAATAATCCGTATTAGTCCACATCACAGCATGCCACAGCTGAATAAGCACAACACATTGCTACAGGCATGCAGGTCCTGTCGCAGATGGCATTGTTTATCCTTTGTGGCTGGCGAACAACAGAGTTCAAGTACTCCGTGCCAGATCCGGATTCACTGGATGTCGATACAAGCAATATTTCCATGCCACCCATGACGGAGGTGTCGGGAGAGTTTGGATAATCAGTCTCGTGCCATGGGTGGACATGGATTTGCCACCATCCACCAAGAGGAGAGGGGGTTTTCCGTTAAAAACACGGGCAGCTGTTATCGGGGAAAGCTGCCGCCTCACGACGACAAGTACATGTCAGTCAGAAAAGCAGGACAATTTCAGCCCAGCCGCCTTTACATATACTTCGGGCCCGGTGGTTTGTCCGGCTCGGTTCATAGCGCAAGCTATTTTTGACACGAAAAGGACTGCTGGGTTGCGTCAATAGTACTTGGTGGGACGTCCTCGCCTCAATACTACCTACCTCGGTACCTGGTTCCAGAGCCCGAACCTGTTGTCCATTGTAGAGTCCAAGGGTCTCGTGAGAGCTTTCGCAATTCACACAGCATCAAATCTTGCTGAGCTAGAAGCAAGCGCCTTGTCTAAAGAGCAATTGCAGCGGCGGAGAGTACCCAAAAGTTGAGGTTAGATGCTAGAAATTTGGAAGCGGACTAGAGCCAGTGAGAACGCTCGTGCAAACACAGGGAGCAGGTACATATGTAGATTCATGTCTGGTGGGCTTTCGATGTTGTAGGTGCTTGGCTATGATGTATCTGCCTACTCCGTACTCCGTACCTCGTGGCTATTCAGGTCAAACGTAGTCTGGGAAGGCGCTACCCGGGATACGATATGGATGTTTATGCTCATCAGATCAGGTCCTGGACCGCGAGGCAAATCAATCTGATTGCTCCTGCCGTACCATCTTTACTGCAGTTGACCGCCGGGATTCTGACTACTAGAGATGCTTATAGACGGCGCTTGTTGGCGCACACTTGGTTCGATTTCCCGTCCGTACAGCACGCACAAAGGAGACATGATATCTCACTAACGATTAGCTCCTCCCATCAAATAGACCTAAACTGCCTGACCGCCCATGCGCTACGACCTGACTGCCAGAGTAGCACATATTCCGATTGGCACATACGGAACAGAAAGCTTCTGGGGCTCTTTGCCGTGTTCTTCCAAGCCTGCCAAAACTAGCATTGGCCAATACGATGGCACAATTTGACGCAAGCTTGGAGGAGGGGGATTTGTATAGGATGGCCGCATAGGAGGAGTAGGGAGTTCCAGACTGCAACCCTCGAGCGAAATCTCGTCTCAAATCTCGCAAGTCCGTATATACACAATACGCACTGTTGTATACAGTGGCATGTTTGACAGCACAGACAAGGTAAAACGGGCATGGCTCCAAAACCAGGCAAGCCAGGCTAAAGGTAACCCCAGAAGCCAATCCGCTGTGCTTGGCCAGGCGCCTCCAAGGCTGGGGGCGTTCAGTTGCAAGCCACCAATTGAGCTCCGAGTGGCTTTTGCAGACATGGAGACATGGTTGAGAACTCAAGGACGAGGACCTTCAAGCTGGGGGTTGGATGGTCCCCTGACATCCACTTGCCAGCGCCACATTTCCTCCACATCCACACCAGTCTGTCTTAACCCGATGCCAAGTCCTGGGATTCGTCAAAGAGATGGGAAGATTTAGCACCAGCGCAGCTCCCATTCTTCCTGGTTCTCAATTCTCAGCGCCAGTTCCCAGTCCACAGCCCGGCCGGGCATATTGGAAAGAGCTGTGCTCGAGGATTGCGCGTGCAACTACCAGACTCCGTGGATACCTACAAGTAGGTAAGTAAAGTAGGTATGCATGTACATCAAGCACGACAGGAGCTCGGCAAGGCTAGGTACTCTCATCGATTCACGGGATATGAGCTGCAGCTCCTATGTGCTTTGCCATGTGCCGCACTTCATCGCTTCTTGGCCATCGGCATAGCTCGAGTTGAAGTGGCCTCCCGCGGCTGCCCACCATTTCACCCATGATCCAATTTCATTTGTGCGTCGTCGTACCCTCATGCTGGTGATTCGTTGGCAAACAGTCGTCAACTCCAAAGAGCAGAAGGAGAGGCTGATCCACGTCCAGTTTGACAGTTCTACTATTTGCATCCACACTCGAGGTTGGGACCACACAAGCATCCACATTCACCGCGAGAGCCCCATACTACTGCCTGTCGGCCAAGTACCTGGGTACTCTCCGGTGCGTCTGATGTACTCGGCAGAGTGAGTGTTGCATGTGTTGCTGGACGGACATTGAGCTAGCGCAGGAATCTCCCAAAGAATGGAGAGTACCCAGTACTGGGTACATATTCCATCCCCACCCTCGCGGACGGCATCGTAGCGCCGCTGTCGACCTTGACCATTTGGGACAGCCTCCCCCGCGTCTGCATCTGTCTAATACCTGTCCCGTCCGCCTCCCATGCCATGCCATGCCATGCCATGTCAAGTCAATGCCTTGCCTGCCTCGCTCGCCACTTGCCGCCTGCCTTGCCCTACCTGCTCGAGTGCCTTGCCTTGCCTGGCGCCCCCTCCCCATGTTCCACGTCCCACGTCTCCTTTTCCTCGTCTTAATTTCCTGGCCACTTGCAGGGCCCGCCGTCTAAGCTGGTGCCTCCAGTTACATATTGCATCCCCCTCTTGGGACAGCTCCGAAAAGCATATCATACTCTGCTTCCCCACTGGTGCTGTTGGCCAGCTCACAGTTGCAGCTCACCTGCTTGCATTGATCATTCTGATCGCATTTGCCTGGTGCTCCAGTGGTGGTGTTCGCAAGCCGTTGACCCCATCCGATCGTGCCTCGAACCAGAATCACCCAACCAACGCTGAGCAAGACGCCGAAGCGCCCCTCCGCATGTAACTACGGAGGACACCCTGACTATTATACGATACTTGACTTGATCGACCCTACACCAGCAACCGGCAACTGGCACCAGCCGTACCAGACCCCCCCTTCTTCCCACCCGCCTGCGCACCTGAGCTTCCGCCCTCCGTAGCGGCCAGTCTTACCGGATCGCCAAGCTCCCCGACTCAGCCTACCTACTCTCGTCAAGTTTGCTGTTGCTTCCTTATCAGGCACGGCAAGACTGCGAGACTGCGCGACTACGAGACTACAAGGTTGCCAGGTTACCGCGCAAAGGGCACAAAGGCTCACACGGCAGGCCTGCCAACACACGAGACCCCGCGCCACATTCAAACACACCACTCGATTCCAGGACCAAGGCCTCACGCTGCAACCATCGTAAAGGGCCTACTTCACACCTCAACACATCGCTCACGTCGCCAGGTGGAGAGCCCAGTTGCACCGTGTAGCCAGGTACGACTTTGCTCTTGTGCCTCCCCCACCGGTTAGGGACTGGCATTTCCTGTACGTGGTTCTGAGGCTTTGCGGAGAAGCTCAACAATAGCTCCAAAGTTACTGTGACTTGAAGCCCATCTCGCAACGAGCCAATTCTGTTGTCGATTGGGCCCTACAAATATTGGTGTCGTGAGAGATTTCGCACGAGATCCAGAAAAAGAAGGCAGCCAAAAAAAAGAGGGAGGAAAGGGGAAGAAAGAAGAAAAAACTGAGAGAGGGAGTGAGAAGGCACAGTCTTCTTCTTGACACTAGACCACTGAGGCGTTCAAGTGCTGAGGCGCACCAGACCGCGCACGACTAACTGTACAAGTGTCTCGCGCTGTGGTCACCTGGTCACCTGCCACTTCCTCCACTTCTTGACCTGGATCATCACCACCTGCCAGCTTTGAGAGAACTGCTCAACTGTGGCGCTCAATTTCTGGCTCGGACTTCAATACACTTCGAACACGAGTGCGATAGCGTCAGACCCGCGACCGACACTTACCCTTTTCCGTCTGCTCTTCTTTCTAGAGAAGAATCCTCTCATCCTGAATTAGCCCTACGGACGTCTCGCTAGCGGTCCAGACAATACTCTCCATCATTTCCCGCTCGCCACTTGCCACTCGCGTGCAAAATCTCAGAAGCCATACGCGTGTCTCTGCTGCCCGGAAGCCCAAAGCCTCAAGTCTTCTCGATAAGCTTACTGTACCGTGCTCAATTGTCGTTGTCGATTCTTCGTGACTCGAGGCAGGCTTGACAGTCTGGCGACACCTGCTGCTTTTCGCGACAGCTGGAGCCGCATCGCACCTCTACTGTGTGCCTCCTGGCATCCCACCATGGGCACCAAGTAGGACCACATTCACGCAGCACCGAATCGCATCATATCCTGCGAATAAATTCTCCGCTGCGAATGGGTGCGCTCTCTTGCACTGGATTTCAAAATTACACTTATTCTTGAATTTGTTTTCCTTTTTGGGCTCTGGGTTAGACTCGCACTGGTTTAGATTTGTTATACCCTCTACATCTCATTCTTAATCTTCCTTGACGACATACGACAACCTGTATTACTTTCATCGACATCGAGGTGCCGATAGATACAACTCATCACTACCCGTTTGCACTGGAATTGGTCTCAAGACAAGACGCTTCTGAGTCCGGAATTTCATCAGACCATTAACGACCTAGAGCTTCTTGTCACGCATTAGATACAACAAAGATTTTCTTGTTTTATTATTATTGCCAACGTAAGTTTCTTGCATCCCAGCACCATTGTAATTCTATGTCGGCTCTGGTACCTTTGCGATTGAGACGGGGTACTCGTGAGAGAACGGCATGTTGCGCTGTTTACAAAGAAGCTACATCTCGGAAATGTTTGCTAACTGTACAGGTCAAAGGGCTTCTTCTACATTGTTTGTCGCTCAATAACATACACACTTTTCTGCCCGTGTTTAAATCTCGAGTGGCGGCTTTCGGATTGCGATATAGTGCTGTTTTGGGCATTCGGGGTGGCATATCCTGTGGGACGTGAGACATCATGAGCTCCAACCCCCTCAAAACCGGGACCACGTCGAAACTTGGCCAAGGATCGTTTCCTCCTGGGCCAGCTACAACCCAGAGTCTGCTCTTGGAAAAAGTTCAAGCCCGGACATCAACTCCTGACTCAGAGGCACTAGCAAGCTCGGATGACGAAGGAGAACACCGCAACGAAGCATCTCAGGCTGCCCCTGTTCAATCTCACAAGCCCGTCCGCCGATCCTCGTGGCTCAACGATACCTCTCAGCCATTGAATCGACCCCGTAAAGGCTCGTTTGCAAGCAGTTCCATGTCTCCAACAGGATCGCACCCCAGCACTCCATCAGCTGAGGCTGGCAGCGGCCCTTGGGGTTCTCATTCAACCTCTTCAGTTGGCCGCCCAGCCAACTCATCAGCATTTTCTTGGGGGACCGGTATTTGGAATGCCGACCGAAAGGATGCGTCGTCAAGGCTAAGCGAAGTTCTTCCATCGCCAACCTCTATAATTCCACCAGGGGCAGGCAGTAATTCCTTTTTTGGATCCGACTCTGGTTTGAATCAAGTTTCTCCAGGCTCTCGAGATTCCATGTCTAATTCCCAAATCCCATTTGCTATTCCGTTACACCCCACTCCTAAAACTTACCGATCCCAGTCATATTCAGTTGGCCAGATGGACCCCGAGACGGCACCACCAGGTGGAATGACTTCATCTGCTATCCTGGGGCGAGCACGTCACCCGGCCTTGCAGCACCGACCCTCTCGACCCAGCATGCTGAGTGAGATGGCAAATGATGGTTCAATGCTCGGAAAGGTCAAGGAAGTGGAAGATGATGACGATGAAAGTACATCTGAATCGCTTCAAGGCTCCTATCACCAGATGTCCGAATCCAAAACTATCGAAATGCTCACCCGTGAAAATGCAATGCTGCGCCAACAACAATACAACAACTCTCGCATCCGGCCTCGTGCCTCTACTGGTGCATCCTTTCTTGGAAATGGATATGAGACTGTCCCAGAAGAGTCGGATTTTGCGGTTGATGAACTGGACGAGGCTACTGATTCAATCGATTCGCTCGGCAGGCGAGCCTCGGGTCGGCGTATGAGTGAATACGGAGCCAATGCTTTCCGCACTCCCCTGGGTCTGAACAACCAAAAAGCGGACAACTTGAACCTTAAAAAGGCTGCCCTGTGGTCAAGCTCTCCGGGATTCTTCGGTGGGGATATTTCACAGAGCCGACGCCATTCATTTGCCAATATGCCAACTCGACAAGGCTCTATCAGCTCCATTGCTGATTCAGTATCTGCTCTCGATGCTTCTGGGGTGGGCGAGGGACAGTCTTCCCAGGGGTTTCCTGCTGGATTTGGGGATGGCACTGGGATGGCAACCATCAATAACCGTAAGTCACTCTTGTTGAAATCCCACGAGCAATTATTGAGTTCAGCGACAGAAATGTTGGCCGGCTTGCCAAGCACAATGCAGCCTGCCTTTAGCAATCCCTATGCACCACATTTTGGTCTTCAGAACCAGTTCACCAACCGTCCGCCTTCTCCTCACCGCAATGTTTTCGGTATGGCTCAGCCCAGGCACAACCAACTTCTTCACGTGGTCCTGTTCAAGTGTGTCAGAGCCGACGTGTTCTACATTCAAGAGGGTAGGGGCCTCACAGTTAAGCCTGGTGACCTGGTCATTGTTGAAGCAGATCGAGGCACCGATCTGGGAACAGTCGCCAAGGTCAACGTTGACTGGCAAACTGCAAAGGAGCTGAAAGAGCACTACGCCGAGGAGCACTACAAGTGGCTCATGATGTATTCACAAGGCGCTGCTGCAGCTCAAGAGGGTTCCGGCGCAGGTTTGATGGCATCATCTAGTGTCCTTCAGGGCAGCGCTGTCGGCGGCATGGGACCGCCCACCCAACACCATCTGCAAGAGCCAAACGCCGGAGAGCTTCGACCAAAACTTATTAAGCGCCTTGCACAGCATCATGAGTTGCAAGCTCTATGCGATAAAGAAGGTCAGGAAGCCAAAGCAAAACGTGTTTGCATGCAGAAGGTGAAGGAGCACGGCCTCAACATGGAAATCCTTGATGCGGAATTTCAAATGTGAGTTTTTGACACCCTTCATCCTCGAAGGCAAAGGCTACAAGAAAGAAGGCTTGCTTACTAACTATTAAATTGCAGGGACTGGAAGAAGCTTACATTCTACTACTTCGCTGACTCTTACATCAACTTTAATTCTCTCGTTACAGACCTCTTCAAAATCTACAAAACCAGGATCTGGATGTCTGCTATCAACCCAGCTTCATTTGCCAGCCCAACGCTAGGCATTCAGGCACCAAGTGGAATTGGTCCTGGTGCTGTAGGTGTCGGGCGTGCCTCCGGAGGCGAAAGACGCCAGAATCCTCAAGGCCAGGAACAGCAGCAGCCACAAGCTTTCGGCCGGGGATACCGTCCAACATTTTCGCAACCCTTTGGTAGTGATCGAAATGTTCCACCAACGTCAGCATACCCGCCGAACAACTATGCGTATGGGGGTGGTGTATTTGGTAATGCCCGCGGCACGTCTGCTCCATACGCTCCAAGCCTCTCTCCAGGTGCGGATGGATTCCCAACTGGATTTGGCCAGCAAGGAGACTTCCAGTCTCTCCGCCAGCGGTTTCCCGGAGCGCAGAATCTCCCGAGTCCGACTCCACACGCAGCAGGCGTGTCACCCATAACTGCACAAAACGACTGGAATACCGCATTCCAGGGTCTGTCCCTAAACACACATTGATCATTGCTCACAGAACTAAAAGGGAAACAAAAGGAAGCAATGGCAAGGAATAGTTTACGCACACAGGCACTACTGGTGGCAGCTGATCGCCAAGAGTGCTTGGGAATTGTAGCTGGCTGAATTGTGCGGTCAATTCTCTTGTTTACAATTGCCACATTTTCTTTTCATCAAATTTATTAGTCCTTTTTTTTTCCTTTTTACAGTATTCTGGGAATGTGATATTTGGCGTTTATATCAAGAAAGACGGATGAACAGTGGCCCAGAGAGAGAAAAGGCAATGGCTCCTTGCTTGCACGCACCAGAGAGGCTGAGGTTCAAACATAGACAGAAAGATGCTTGAGTAAAAACAAAAAAAGGGTCACTCACGCTGTAACTAATATGCAACGAATAGGGGATAGGCATGACTTGGGTAGGGCGGAGGTCATGTACGAACGAATTTTGGGCTCGTTGGGCGATATGTCTGTTCTTGATTTACTCTTCTTCGTCCTCTTAACGAGTTTTTGTTACATCATATTTTGTCATTCTTCTGCTACCGCGGTTCTTGGGCATTAGGTGGCTTTTGGGCTTGTTTTAGAACTTAAGAGCAACTTCGATGATTTATGAGTATATACAAATTGGAAGGCGTTTCAATTTAGTTTCTTTCCCGTCATTCGCTCTAGAAATATTCGTTCATGTTAGTTTAACTACTTGGTATAAAGTGTCTCTTCTCTGAGATTGTGGTGTGAGATGCGATTATTGCCAGCTGCCAGCTGCCAGACGCTACCTGGACAGCTGTTGGGACGGCGAGGTAGCTCCTTCCGTGGACTTCCCTCTATTCTCCTTTATCTGTCAGCCTTCCAAACTTCTTTTTTATGTTACAACCTACGCGGACCCTAAGAAACCCTCAACTGCTACACTTTGATATGCCACGGGGGTAATTGGTACTGGAAAACCGCATCTTCCAGGACCGCAATGGCGCCTCTGACAAGAAAACGAAAGCTACTCAAGCATGGTGCGTCCCAGCTCAGCAGCGAGTTTGGACGAGAATGTCATTATATATACGAAATTTGAACACTGATCCGTTTTGCAGACGAAATTGAAGACACTGCTGTGGCAGGCAGCGATTTGGAACAGGATGCTTCAACCTCTCTTCCGTCATTGCTCAGGTGTACTGGGGGGCAGAACCCGCGGACAACGCTGTCGCAGGACGATGGAGCTTCGCTTCCCTTGCAGACGAGGTTTTTCTAACAGCTATAAATGCTCCTGGTGTTTATTACTTTGCTGAATTCTCCTATGTTTTCTAGTGCAACTTATTCCCGGGTAGCTAAAAAGGCTAAAATAAATACCCAGGATGCGAGACGGGATTTGGAGAAGACGGCTCGCGACCTACAGGCACAAATCAAGACCCGAATTATCTGCCACGCAGCGTAAGAGATTTATACTAACCAAATTCAAACACATGCTGATATTTCATAGTTCCTTGCATCAACTACCAACTATAAAAGAATTGGTGACCAAGAATCTCCCAGATAATATGCCTTCGATATTGCCTCATACTTGTAGCTCCTACCCGGGACAGACCGGGATTGCAAACGATTCTTACCATAAAGCAATCCGTACCTTGGACGGATTTCGTGTTTTAATGAAGGATTACGAAGAATTGAGCAAGCGTGAGAACAATATTAGGATGCCCTCCTGCGCACGGTGGAAGCAAGATGGTATGGATTTACAGTTGCTTAGCGCAAGTCTCATGGGACATTCGATGAAATGTGCTGAACAAAATATTATTCCGAACGCCTCTAGGATCTCCACAAACATCGGGAATGATGACATTGACCACATTGCCGCAGAACTACTGCAGGAAACGTGGCAACAAAAGACGGGCGAAACTTGGGGGAATACTACTGAGGGCATTTTACAAGCCTTGTTTGGACTTGCTGTTTTTCTGCCATAAAGGGCCGAGCCTTGGCATTTACTCGTGAAGATTGGGATTCTTGTTCTAATGGAAGAGTTCTACCATAATGTTAAAAAACAGCCCATGCCAACTTAGAGCCATCAAAGTTCCGGCTTGCCACACACTAGAAGACACGAAGATCACATCAATAAAGTCGAGATGGTTTCGTAGTAACGCACAACCCCCTTGTCCACTGTTGTGTGATCAATTACAGGCGGCAATTTTGTGGAACGTTGAGCCCCACTCGAAAAGCTGACTCATCAGCGTGCCAGTCAATCCGTGCATTAGAAACAGGGCCAGGGCATTACGGGGCAATTGGTGAACGGCTAAACCTGAAAGCAGACTAGCGCATCGCTTAGCCCACACAAACTTCCTCCCAATTTTCAATTCCGCTCAGCCCTGGGATAATGTGCAAGTTTCCTCGAACGAAATTTCGACTCTCTGCTCCCACCACTACTAACCCACTACAGGAATCTCGCCTCACAAACCGGTTCGTCATCCCAATACTCTCCTGGTGGCAGCATTCCTTCTACACCAAAATACTCTCTGGGAGCAAGGACGAATTTAATTTGAGCTAACGTCGTTGCTACTCGAACAGCCAAGATGGGTGCCCTCAAATACGTTGAGGAACTTCAGAAGAAGAAGCAGTCCGATGTGATGCGCTTCCTTCTCCGAGTGCGCTGCTGGGAAGTACGTTAAGTCCAATTTACAGACACATTCAATGGCATATCGTGGACGAGCGAAACGGAGTCGAAGTCTCTATTCCTACTCGAACTTCATTCGGACATTTGTTTTGTCTGTCATCGAACCTTCCCGAGTTCCCCTTCGATAAGAAATCATCGAAACAAAGAATTGTGCATCTTTGATTGGCAATGAAGAGGAATAAAGGTGGTCCGATGGAGCTTCATCCCTCGCTTGAATGAGAGAAAGAAAGAGACTCGAAATATCCGGCCGCTCGGTCTGTGCTATACACTCGTTGAACTTTTGCTGAGAGTGCGTAATATAGTACCGTCAGTTGAACGTGATTCACCGCGCCTCTCGCCCTTCGCGCCCCGACAAGGCCCGGCGCCTCGGATACAAGGCCAAGCAGGGCTATGTCATCTACCGCGTCCGCGTTCGCCGCGGCGGCCGCAAGCGCCCTGTTCCCAAGGGTGCCACCTATGGTACGTACAAACAAGGCTGGGGTCGAAGGAATTTGGGGATCCGCACCGTGAGCTGCGCAGAGACAAAGATGCCATTCTCCCGAATGCCTTGTCTTGACCGCACTCTACGTGCCCGTCTCTACTTTCTCGGCAACCGCCGCTATGAATTCGCTACCACTCATGCTGACTATCCAAACAGGCAAGCCCACCAACCAGGGTGTGAACCAGCTCAAGTACCAGCGATCCCTCAAGGCCACCGCCGAGGAGCGTGTCGGCCGACGCTGCGCCAACTTGCGCGTCCTCAACTCGTACTGGATCAACCAGGACTCCACGTACAAGTACTACGAGGTCATCCTCGTCGACCCCCAGCACAAGGCCATCCGCATCGACCCTCGCATCAACTGGATCGTCAACCCCGTTCACAAGCACCGCGAGGCCCGTGGTCTCACTGCTACCGGCAAGAAGTCCCGTGGCCTCAACAAGGGCCACCGCTACAACAAGACCCAGGCTGGCCGCAGAAAGACCTGGCTGCGTCACAACACCACTTCCCTGTGGCGCTACCGATAAACGTCTCGTCCGTGCGTCGCACAGTGTCGCTCAATGGAAACTTGACGTACGTGACGGAACGAGTGAGCTTGGGAAGGTTGTTTGGGGCGTGGTTTTTGGCATTGCGTGGTTGCTATTGCTTGGAATCATCGGTCAACGGGGCTCAAGGATGAAAAAAAGGGCCATTATGACTTGGTAGCTTATTATACAAAACAATGCTGGAATGGAAATGATTCCCATAATGACGATAATTTCTTACCTTCTTCTGTGATGTTGATGCTGCTTGCCTAAGGCGCTCTACTCTCAAGAGGATGCCAATCGACTGAGGCAACTAACAGGATAGAAGACCAAGATGTCCAAGATGTCCAAGATGAAAACGAAATACGAAATTCCTGCTTTTGGCGCCGTGCCGAGTTCTCTATGATGTTCGTATGTCTCCACCGTGAAAAGACTTTTCTACAACCTACTTAAGTACATAAAGTGGCGGTAAAAGGTACGCTTTTATGCTTGCTGATCACGCCAATACACCTCGTAGGGCAATTCAAACAGGGTAGCAAGAGCAAAAGTCATGTATTTTATTTTCCGAAAGAGTCTCTCGAGATCATACAAAGGGTCATGCATAACAAACGAAGCAAAGCCTCCCCAACCATCCAACTGCCTATCCAGTTCCATGATCCCATTTCCATCCCTGTCACCAATCCAGCCAAAGTCCCAGATCCGGCGATTCAAGAAAGTGAAGGGGAGAATGAAGCGGCTATACAATCATGAGGCAGTTATAAAAGCAATGCAAGAAACACGGGGATATTCCCGTCTGCTCTCCTCTCGGTTCTGCATGTGCAATACGAGTAGTCATCACTCACTACGTCCGAATGGAAACAAATCATCAGACGCAACTTGATGGTAGAAATCACAACAGAGGGCGAAAAAAAAAGTGAAGTAGAATAACAAAAATGACAAGGGGGAAATGTGTAAAATAACCTCGAAATGTGACAGGTCCGCAGGGATTGGTAGTCATCTCTATCGATGAAGCTCTTTCGTCGTGGCGATCAGTGTACGCATACAGGATGTGACCTTCTGCTGTTGCCAATGCTGGCAAGGCCGGTCAGTGAGTTTTTTCTTCTCTTTCTCTTCTTTTCTTTTTTTCTGTAACACCCTTCCTTTGTAATGTACACACAGAGCACTACTGTATGTGCTGTGCAGATCGGAGGCTGAGCTAGTAATAAGGCAATGGCGTTCTCGTGCTGTATTTAAGACCATGAAACACGATGCACAATAAAAAGAGTCGTTAAGTCATGGCAGTTTCATAAGCGTGCTGCATGAGAGGCTGAGTGCCATCCAGGGACACGAACCAAAAAGAACTTTTGAGCGTGACGCGTGTT